CTCGAATTACATTATAACACATATCATCATTTATTGCTGTTTCCCCTATGTAACCTAGGCAAATTTTATATCAATCATTTTTTATGTTCAAAACCCATTTATCCTTATTCTCTAGCATATCTTTTTATCATGCTTGCAAAATACAATTATTAGTCCTCTTTAACTTAATCCAATATTTAATCATTCCTAATTTTCTTACCAATGACAATGGATACCTCCCAAGTTCTAAATAAACCATGATGTTACAGGTATTTTTTCTTACGCCCAGCAGTCGTTTACAAAACAAAGTATGAGGTTTTTTTTTTTAAATATTTTATGTTTTAGAGTGCGGCTAATCAGAGAATGTAAAGGAAATATGGCGTCAATAGTAGACATTCTTTTCTCAAAACCAAACTGAGTATCCGTTATTTTACTTTGTTGTTGGTCAAATACCACAAGCCTAATATTAATGATTGACGTGAAAAGTTTCCCCAAACAACTAACAAGAGTAATACCTCTATTATTATCAACATCGTTGACATCTCCCTTCTTAAAGACAGGCACAATATTACCCTTTGACCATGCTTTCGGGAAATTACCAGCTTTAAGTATATTGTTAAATAAAGTTACAAAACAAGGCACCAACACCGTCTTACATTTTAATTATACACAAGTTAAAACATTGTCAGGACCAAATGCCTTATTTGCATTTATTTTTTTAATAGCACCAAATATTTCTGCTTCTGATATATTAACGTATAATTCGTCAAATGTGACTTTCGAAGAGTTAGAATCGTGTTCTTGCAAAAAACAATTAGCATTAGCATCAATAGTTGGCTTGGTTGAAGTTGATGTATGAAAATTGTCGAAAAATGATACAAAGATACACTGTACCCGACAGGTATATTTTATATTGAGACGTCCCCCATACAAAGATACACTGTTCCCGACAGGTATATTTTATATTGGGACGCCCCCACACAAAGATACACTGTACCCGACAGGTATATTTGCTGTGAAGATGTCCTTGAACCTACATGTATTTATGAGAAAAAAATCTTCCTCAGCAAACAGAAATTTAGACCATAACTGCATTTGTAACACCCATGTCAAAACCCTTTGAACGAGCCACGCCAGAAGAGTTACAATTCTCAACGGTTTCTTTGGAGTACTTTCCATCCAGGTCTAACTGTTTTCGAGGAGGATAGAGCTGTTTGCCATAATGTATGTCCAATATGTAGAAGTGGTGAGGGATATTGAAATGACCTCGTTGGACCAATGGTATAGACCTATAACTGCCTTCGTCGTCCTTATGAAGCTGAGAGGGTATGGTGTGACATAATTGACAGATTTAAGACGTACATGAATATTAGCAGTTTTGAGACAGTTGTCAAGGTCTAGTGGTTCCATCCTTTGGCCCCAGTATTTATCATGAATACATTGCATGGCGCAAATTCAAGGCTACAATAAAACTTCGCCATTCACGTTTAGTTACTACATGTATAAACACGTATATTATACTGTTTTGTACTAGGCCTAATACTTGCTGTCTTGATAAATTAGTCCTCAGTACGGAGAACAAAAATGACCGGCGAAAGTTAACTGCGGCAAATATATCTCGGTATAAAGCATTCTTAACTACAAATGAAGCAACATTTCTAAGTTCCAAAGAGGATAATACTCTTTCAAATTCCCTTTTGTGTTATGGGCTTTAAAAGAAACTTTAAAGAAAAGAAAAGTCTGAAACGTTTAAAACAGTGTAATAACTAACAGATGGAGACTAAACCTGCGGAATGTCAAATTCTGGCTATCAAATGTATGTCATCACATGTAAGTAAGTTAAATTCGTTGGAGTGGATATTGATTATTATTATTTTTCAAACATTATCTCTTAGACATGTTATAAACTATCACGTCATATATTAATGTAAATAAACCTTAAGACCAACACGTAGCTATTAGTTGTAAAAGGGCAGTTGACACTAGATTTGTGTTGTCAACCCTCGACCTGTGTCCTTAAGTATAGGGAACATCTGTATAAAGGTAGTTCGGACAAGCTAGTGACAATTACTATTGATCAATATGGAAATCGATTCTGGTCTTGATGAAATAGTTCGCAAGTCAGCCACAATTGTGTTATGTACATGTTGTGTAACATTGAGGAAACGTGCTACTGAAATATATGAAAATCATTTATGAAAACTGTCACCCTTATCTGAGGGAAATTATTGAAATAACACCGTAATGATGCAAGTAAGTATCTAATGTATGAAAATATTCTGAAAATACTGTACCATCCCCAGGACGAAGGGAAATGGCTAGCTACATTATAAATACCTATCGTTAAAACTATTGTATGATCTACCTCCACATACAAGTAAGGTAATGAATCTAGCTACGTTAAAGACATACCGACGTGCCACGTGTAAATCCGTTAAATGATATAGAAGTATGTCATACAACAGCCTGCGAGCGAGAATGTTCTGTGGCTAGTATATCATGGAGAAAGTGCTTTGTTTAATATGCATTTTGTTTTTTGTATTTATATACATATTTGTTGACTCTGTGCTGTTACAGTATGCGTGTTATCAAATCTGTATTTTGCATAACCGACCACACATGTTAAATATGCTTTTGATTTTAAGTGGGCGGAGTATCGAAATGGTGCATGCTTAATTGGGATGTATGATAATGCATGGTATTTAATTTTTATGCTTCAAGTAGTGTTTTGTATGCTATAATCGTATGGAGTGTTTACAGGATGTATATAATTACCAATTAACCAATGTAATAAATACAACATAGATGCACGTGGTTGTTATCTAGTTTATTATATAGATGTACCGTATAGTGTATTGTGTTGAAATGAAAGTTAACTAATCGAGCATGTGTAACACGTACAAATAAATCGCTGTGAAACAAATAAATTAACATCTACTTTAACTTTGTATCCATATGCCCCCCCCCCCCCCCCCCCCCCCCCCCCCCCCCCCCCCTCCTTCATACCTAACAGTCGACATTTTGCGATGACCTCTTGTCTTCATACAATAATTAGATAGTGTATGTAACTTGTGTTACTTGGTGTGGATTAAACACCATATAGAATAGTCATTTTTGTTGTGGAAATACCCCCTTACAAATCTACATTATACCCAAGACAGTCGTCTTTGGTTAGAGACGTCCCCATACAAATTGACACTATAGACAACAGTAATATTTGGTATTGAGATGCCCTAATTAAAATCTACATCATATAAGACAGTTATATATTTTATTGAGATGCCCTAAATGAAATCTTCAATATTCAATATATAAGACAGTAATATTTGGTGTGGAGATGCAACCCAACACAAATCTATAATGTACACGATAGTAATATTTGGTTGCAGACGTCCTCCATACAAATCCTAACTATACACGACAGTCGTATCAAGTGTAGAGATGTCTCCCATATAAATCTATAATTCCAAGACAGTCATATTTGGTTTGTAAATGCCTCCCAATACAAAGGGGCAACCTTATAAAACAGTAATATTTAAGATTGAGACGTGCCCCATACAAATCGCAACTACATCCTGCAGTCATATTTGGTTTGGAAGCNACCTTAGAAGACAGTTCCATTTTGTGTGGAGACATCCCCTTGTTACACGACAGTACTATTTGGCGTAGAAAAAACGACAGTCATATTTGGTGTCTGCGCTGCACAGTATCCAAACAATTCCCCTTGACAGTCTTTATCTTTCCTCAGTAGTGATCTTATGAGTCATCACTGGTAAAGAAAAAAAATCGACTCTCATTCAAAAAGACAATGTACAGTCTGTGAGATATTTAGTATCGATACGACCCCTACCTTTGTCGCATACCAACCATTGTTTTCATACACGCACAAACCAATGAGAAGTAACCCATGGACATTACACAAAGTTCTATTCTGTGTTAAAGAGATGAAAACATCCGACAATGTTTACTGATTAATATTCACCAGTTAATTAGTAAGTATTGTCCTGCTTCGATCCTATTACATTCTAGGAAGCACATAAGACAAATTAGTAAGACTTAAGAACATGTGCACTAAGATAATGCTATAAAAAAGTGTAACAACGCATCAACTTCGTTTCAAACGAATCAACAGACCCATATTTAACCCGAAAACAGAGCACCTGTTGTCAATCATTAATGTTCAAACACGCACTAATAATGGTAAGAGATGGGATGGACATCATGGTGACACAAGTGGAGGACACAGACAGGAAGTGCCCCACCACGAGACAGCGCTAAACCTACATGTAGGTGACACGTTGTGGTTCAGACGACACTTCCGGTCGATCCCTATGTCAGACAGACCAAAGTGGGTACACGGGTGACGTACGTATTTGTTTGAGGTGTGGGGAGGGTAGATGCTTTCTAAAACCACTGCCATGTCTAATCTGTCGGTGTGAATGTCTGCCTCGGCTCTGCTGTACATATCGCTGGATGACAGGCTAAGCACACACGTGTTACAACAGCATGCATTCAACATGTCGGATTAACATGCAGGACTGGATCGAAGTCTTATGTCACCATGGCAAGGTGTTTCCACCACTGGCAACGAAATACTGAAACTTTCTTCTCTCAGATATAACTGGGTTTTTTTTTAATTCTGCGGAATTTCATCCACAACCGAGTTAGTTGATGAAGACGCTGTCTGTCTGATACCTAGGCAGGCCTGTATTGATACACGTGGGTAGTGACTCCATGTAACGGGAGAAATAATCAGCATTCCTAGCGTTACAAAGCCAACACAAGTCGTAAAGACGAACGTATCACCCCCTTCACACACCCGGCAGCCCATACACAGCCATCATTGAACATATAAAACATTGACTGAAATAAAATCGGTATAACAAAACGGTCTCCATCTGAATAAAAGCTACATGCAATATAGTGGTTATGGCGGTGTGTGTTGTATGATATATTGACACCATAAGTTGGTAGGAGAGGGGAGCGACCTCGACCCACAGATACAAGGGTGTATACTATACCTCTAGTCATTGTCTGCTCCGAGACGCTCACCGTCGACAGAACCGCGCTCAGCCATAGGTACCCTGCACCAGATTTCCACATCATAGTGCATAGTCCATGGGGAGGATTTGTCCCTCGACATTAAATCGCGCACCACTGTTCAATTAGAGTTTAAGTATACAGTTGCTACTGTTTTTCCTCCGTAACATTGGAGTGTGTCGCCATCATCGCTCGGCGCATGCGTACATCCAATACACAAACATTGCTAAGTTCTCTCGCGAAGAGAACATGTGTTGGGGGGTCAGGGCCGGTCCCGACGTACCCACGTGGTGAGAAGAGGAGGAGGAACGCTGGTGTGTTTACATCCAGGGGGAGTGCTCTCACAGATCCGTCCTCTGCCCGACCGTTACATGGTGGCCACTCTACAACACCGACATGTTTGGCGCGAGATAGTGTGTGTACATATTGATTTAAAGGATGATTTGTTCACCAAAATACTTTCAGCAGGCTACACTGGCACTAGGCTGATCTTGAGGCCGAAGTAACTATCACACCTGGCTCGGTAAGGTATCGATCTTCAGAATTAAAATAATAATACAACTCTAAAAACACCAGTGGTGTACGACTCTCACGTGTCTGGTTAAATCCAACCAGGTTTCCCTCAATAAAACTTGCCCGGATCAATAAGTGGTATTGACGGCTATCGACACATGGTATATGTACGGCCCGTACAGTCCTGGAACAGCGCGCCACTACACAAATGTCATCCCATTTGATCACACTGATTTGTAGCCCCGGGACCGAGACGCCCCGGGATCGATCCCCGGTGAGATGTGCGTACACTGTTGGACACGAGAGTGTAACGAGGAGCGAGGGAACGGCGGTGCACACTGCTACTACACAAATACCGGTGTGGGTGGAAAGAACGTTAAAGATATCTGTGTAAAAATGCTATTTGTTAATTGCTTTGAACACAGAGGGGTATGTGCACACTGTCTGATTATACTATCGGATATCCTCTAGAGTCGCTGTTCAGGCCCATGAAATGAAACCAACTCAAAGCTCTCTTCCTCAGTTTTTAATAGACGCTTTTTATTTATTTATTTTTCTGCATTTGTCCTACCGGAAGTTTCACACGACAGTCAAGAAAAAAACCAACAACCCTTGCATACACAACATTGGCTGGAATATGACACATGGGCATGCCCAAGAAACAACTATAACACCAAGTTGGGATTGCCCTAAAAACAAATGGATAGGTTAAGGGTTTGTTTTATTGCAATCGTAGATTCTACACTGTTTCTTATTGGCATATAGGAGACAGAACTTTGTCCCTCTTAACAGACTTTTAAACTATTCTACATGACGAAAATAAGAAATTTCAATTAAAATCCCCATTTCGAGCGCAGTGAATTGGAATTGGAATTCTAAGCAAGAATAAATAGTAAAGTCTTCGAAAACCGACATGAACGATCAATGTATATGTAGAATATCTTTCAAATTAAAAAACAAACTTCCCAGAATCTTGAACGTAAATCGGTACTAAAACACTACACAATGTGCATGTCCCAGATAAAACGTAATCACTACTGGTCTAAAACACCATTGCGCATGTCCCAGACAGAACATAAGTAAAAGAAGTCTAGAGCGACATTGCGCATTTCCCAGACACCAGTTTGGTTGGACCAAAACACCACTTTACATTGTCTAGAAAACAATTTAGTATGATCAAAAGTTCTGGTGCAAGCCCTAGCCATTAAGTTGACAGGACCGGCAATTGCGTGCCATTCCGAACTCCTTGATAAGACCAGAACGCCATGCATGCATTTGTGACCAGTTTTTTTATGAGACCGGAACACCATGCGTCGTACTATTACAACTTTGATAGAACCGAACACCTTCCATCATTTTGTGCCACGATAGGAACACTATGATATTGCGAATTAAAGTATTAAATCTAAAAAATCCTACTGTGGGCATATATATCCTACTGTGGGCATAAACATCCTACTGTGGGCATATATATCCTACTGTGGGCATATATATCCTACTGTGGGCATATATGTCCTACTGTAGGCATAAAACTCTTACTGTGGGCATACAAATCCTACTGTCGGCATATATTGAAAAAAGAAAAAAATGCCTATTGTAGAACAAATATATCACGAAATAAATAAAAAATTGGTGATGTTCGTACCGATATAGTTCTTCATGTTAAAATCACTAATTAAACTCCTGTAGTACCAGACAGACACCGAGGCTATTTGTGTTTAGCTGGTTCATTTATAGCTTAGTTATTTAATGGTCATTAGTACACAGCACCACTGGTACACGGTCGTAAATCAGCAGGGAAAATCTCGTCACATTCCAAACAAATTAAGAGTATGTTCCCGAAATAATATTTTCGGGATTGGCACATTCTTATAAACCCATTCAAATTATTAGTACATCAATTTCTCTACTAAACACGTGCAAATGTAAGCGAAATATGATTTTAAAATAGATTTGAAGTTTTATATAAATGTAGCTTGGATTGCGTTTAAAAACAGTTACAGTACCGTCAATATAATTATGTTATTTGGTAAAAGTCTGAACGAAAATAACGAGCAAGACGGACGAACAAACGTTACGACTCGAATTGAAACGTTCTATTATCGAAATGGTAAATGATGAAAAATATACTTTATTTCATAACAATTCTGAAAAAATAAAACGTTCAACTTATATCAATTCCTCTTGTTCACCCTGATGGAAGCACGCAGGGAGTCTTAATGTTATAGGAAACCCTGGTGGCCGGGCAGGTAACCTTATACTTTTCTCCGTCCGAACCCCGGACGTCTTGGTGAAAGGCGAGTGCAGCACCCGACCAACCCATTCAATGATGAAATAAAATGAACTAATATTAGCTCTAGGTAATAATTGTCTGGCATTTTACAAACAATGAAAACCTTAAAATATATATTGGATTATAGGATGCTTACTGTGATTTAGTCTTATCCATGTATTGTAAAAATATCAGATTCAGATCCAGATTCTTTATTTCCTTATGTTTACAACACATCGGAGAGTAGACATACATATGTACAAGATATCACAATGTATAACACAAATTACAGTGGATGCAATAGTGTACAATGCATAACATAGATTATCAAAACACAATATACCTGTATGTGGGTATAACATACAGAACATGCAGTATTATATTTAGTTAAACAATATTATTTCGTCGTTTTGTACTTAAATGCAAAAATTTGCCTAGGTTATTTAGATCTTTAACGATTTTGGTATTGAACAGTTCTATTAACTTGAAAACACTTGGTCGTTTGTAAAAATAAGGTTTAATATATTCATGCCTAAAATCCTCATAAAATTTGCATTTAAGTATAAAATGGAATTCATCTTCAACATCATTAGCGTTACAGAATGTACAAAGTCGTTGTTCTCTTGGTTGATTTCTGTACCTGCCTTGCTCAATATTTAAACTATGTGAGCTTAATCTAAAACGTGTTAAGTATTTTTTGTATAAATTATTGATAGGTTTTCTCAAATAGTATTGCAGGGTAAATTTGTCAATAAGATGTTGATAAAGAAAACCTCTAGAAATAATATCATCATTCATGGAATAAAAGAAAGGCAATACAATCGTTATTACATTTTGTAGCAGCGGCGGATAACCCTATCTTTGTTTCCTGTTTACATTATTTGTTGTTTGTCATTCGACACGGACGCAGCTGTTGGCTGTGATACGGAGACGCATATTTCAATTTTCTTAAAACCCCTAATTTTTCGACCAATCACGTTGCTCTTTGCATCCAAGCTTCCATGAGATTATAGCTCGGCACGGATGCTGACGCTCTGATAAAGATACGCATGTCTGTCATCAAATCATCGAGTGTATCACTCCGCAAGCTCAAGTCTGAGTAATATAGCTCACTATGTGTGCTCAGGCCACTGGAGTCAAAAAAAACACCTGAACAGTTTATCAAATGTAACCCAGATCCACCGAATTCATTAAATCATTCATGAACATTCTTTTCTACTTCACTAAAATCAACGACTCAGTTTCCGCAACAGGAAGCTAATAGGTACATTACAATAATGATATTTTACATGAACGAGTAAGATTGAAAGGCCTAATTTCTATGGTCTTCAACAAATGATCAAATCAAATCATTGAAATGCCTTTCTTACACATGTGACACACTGAAAAATTACATAAATAATCATATTTAATTCACGCACGTTTTCGGGCCTTTTCAAACCCCTACAACTAAACAAAACAGTCATTCCAATTATCCAGTTTGACCACTTTGGGGTTAAGGAATTCTATGCCAAGTGATGGTTTTGAAAACAAGTCACTTTTACAACGCCTCATCTAATATACTTATGTTAAAGTTCGAATTAGTACACGTATTAAATAGATGAAATGGGATGTTGTTATTCCGTTGCAAGGTTTCTGACAATGCGATAAATATCAAATTGCACACTTATATGTCACATACACGAGTGAAACTGTGTTGTCCTATTCCACAACTTTTGGTTTGTTCAGAAATGCAATTTTAGGATACTTGTTACTTAGGTTGACCAAAAAGTCTACAAATATGCAACTTGGGACAAACATCTATATTGTTTCGTTCTATTGTTCACATCTTTGTGTCCAATTCCTGCCCTTCTATCTTGTAAATTTCATTGCCATTTTGTGTTGAAAAAAACTTTACATAAATCAGTCATTTTCATGGTGAATCGAAATAACGTTCTTGTGTGTTTGTTGATACGTGCGCCGAAAATTTAAAGGGCTAGCCACGCCAACAGACTATCTAGATTAATTAACAATGGTTTCATGAACAATACAATTATTAGATATTATTTTGATGGATTCTAATAAGTTGTACAATTAATGGAATAATAAAATAAGAATAAATTTATAAAAAAAAATATGACATTTTGAAAACACGAATCGCTATCTTGAGTTTTCTTGTACCATTCTCCCTGTTTTCAACTTTTGGCAAATAAACAGCAGGACACTAGCGCTGGCTCTAAGCTTATTGGTGCAATGAACAAGTGGAATATTTTATACCAATTGTAATGTAAATAAAGGCAGACAGTTATGTTATATATGTGTCTTATACTTATTTGGCCATGATAATACAGAAAGTATTTGAAAAGAGAGATGCAGAGAATTAATTTCAATATGGAGTTATGCAAGGCAGCGATCAATTATTTTAAGGGTTTTAATGTCCTTTGTAAAATTGAACAAACTGCAAATGTTCGGAAATCTATGGGAGCTTGTCTTATGTTGGTTTCCCGTTAAAATTCGTTAACAGAAGAAGAGCTCTGCTTTTACATGTAGATACCGTTCTGTTAACTGTACTTATATGGGCACAATACGCATACATGGCGAACCGATTTTTTTCGTATATCACAATTTCTCAAATATGCCATTTCTGATCATGTTCGAAAGTTGACATTTTGTCCGCCACATGAAGGAATGATCATCTCTCCAATTTAGAACTGAAAGTTTGATCACCATCGCTTGGAGTAATCTTAACAAGTCTTTGGAACATTGTATCGATATGGCTCGAAACTTATACAGGAAACCTGTATGAATGTTTAAATCAATCGCTCCGATTATGCAAATTTCACGACAACGGTTCCTTGGTTTTGTTTATGATTCACCTACGGTAAGCATAAATTTCGGTATAATAAACAGTTATTGACCCAAACTATTGCTGTGATAGTGGAACCGTCTACCTTATACAAGTGATACATGCATCATCCTCGAGTGATAATAATTGTTTCTGATCACACAATTTGTCACGTTACAAAAATTTGAGGTCAGAATCTTATAATATCTATTGACGTGTATTTTATTATTAAGATGTAGATTTTTACA